AAATAAAATATCAAATGTGTAATAAGTGCTTAGAATAGGCATCAACATTTTCATATCACCTGTTTACTTGCTTACAAAACCTAAGAGATAACATCAGAAATAAAAGCCTATGTGAACTACAGTGTAAACACAAACAAAAGTCTACCCCAGAAATAATCTTTGCTTCAGCTGTCACACTCACGGCAGTTATCACACATGACAACTGCATGTTTCATGCACAAGTATCGCTTACACTGATAGCATGTGTGTTTTGTTTTCCTGTTCTTTCTTGTTGGTTTTCCTGTTGTAGTAGTTCTTTGTGATGCTGCACCTGCCTGTTCACCTGTCAGCTCACCAGTGTGCTCCACAATATTTTTGCATAGTTTCTTGGGCAGAACCATTTTGTTTTTCCTCTGCTATAAATGGTCTTTATGAATTCCAGTCCCAATCCTCTAAGAAAATTTCTCCATATTTTGTACTTGTTATTTTCTTTATAAACTGTCAAACTATGCTACACATGTTTAGGATTGAGTAGAACACAGCCATTGGCCAATGCTGTGTGTTTCGAGTGACACCATAGTTGCTGCATAACTCATCACTAACATCTACTCTGCCTTTGGTTTTGTTGTAAAATTTCCATCTCAGGCTTCCATTTTGTTGAGGTTTTCCTATCAATATTTCCATCATGGTGCAGTGTTAACATCAGCAGTACCAGTTTGTTTTTCTTTGTCATATACGAGGCCAATGTAAATCTTTCTGAAATCCAAAGATTGTACTATACAATTTTCTATTTTGAAATTGCAGCATTTCCTTTGGAATTTCTGCTTTGTTCCCAAGTAAGTTCCTGTGCTGGTCAACTTGTGCTCTATTAGCTAATGTAACATCAATTGGAAACTGGTAAACCAATTGTTGAATGTTACATTCTAATTAGTTTGGGAGATGGGAACAACAAGTCTGTTCACAACATCGTTTGATTTATTATTATACAAATAAGGACCTGATGGTTCCAGGATAAATGTCTAAATTTAAAGCATAGTAATTTTTTGCATCTACAAGGGCATAAATTTTTATGTCATATTTTGACCCTTTGCTTTTCCATAAGTCTTTTACATTCCTCCAATTACCATGAGAAATCCTTACTAAGTACAGCAGTCCTATAAATGCCTTCTGTTCAGCTGGTGAAGTGTCATAATAAATACATTTTTTAATGACTATTGATGTATAAAGAACATTTTACATGCATTTCAACCTTTGTGTATTTCACACATCTTGTAGCATTTTGTCTGTTATAATTTCTAACATTGAATGGTAGTGCTGGCATTCTGTCCAATATGTTTCACACCTGCCAAGACCCTCACTATATTTTTGGACCTAGTTCTAACATTGGATCGTTCCATCTGGTTGCATGACCATTTTGCAACATTTCTACTAGTCAAATATGTACTCACATAGCTGTTTTCTTCATGATTTGAATCAAGGAGGTCTGCATTTCCTGTGTCTATATCAGTTGATTCTTGCTCCATTTCACTGTCACAGGAACTTTGGCTCACATGGCTAATGTCAAAGTTGTCATCATCATCATCATCATCATCATCATCATCATCATCCACCCACACCACTCTTCTGTTATGAAAACATGTATTTTACCATAAAGAATCATCTTCCTTATCCATGCATGACTAACCTGATGATTCAATTTTGATCTCTTCCAAAACTTGCAAATCTGTTTTTTCATGTGCCATTGTACTAAATTGGTTACTTCTACCAGAAAAATCAAAAGAAAACTTGTTTTTTAAACAAATCTTAGAGTGATGTGGGTCTGTTGGACCCACTGTGTTGCTCAGGTAAAGATATGCAAAACCAGTTAGACGGAGCATAATGTGTATGGATAAAAATCCCATTCTGCCAATTTTACACATGTGCACACACCTTGCCGTTCATCATACCAAGTGGGTAAACACAGATTGCTTCCTGTATCCCTCAGGGAAAGATACTGAGATGCACAGCTGGCTACTATTACGCTAAAGTACAAATTTACAGTAAAAAAGTAAGGGATGGGTCCGCTGGACCTAGTGTCATGCTCAGTGGGTTGTTCTGATGTGTTATTTTTGGGCACCTAAGACTCTGAGGAGTATTGAATGTGAAATGGAGTGTGTATTTCATAGACCTAGTGAGTGAAGAAAACATGCAGCAACACCTGAGGAAGGCTCTCAGGAGTGTGTGACACTGAATGCTGAGCTTGATCACCACCCAGCCCATACTGAAGAGCCACAACTTCTAGCTGCATGTGGTAGGGCACACCTGTAATCCCAGCACTTGGGAGGCTGAGACAGGAGGATTGCTGCAAGTTTGAGACCTGTGCTACGTAGTGAGTTCAAGGCTGGTCTGAACTACATGGGGAGACCCTGTCTCAAAAAACAAACAAAAAGAAGCATGACCTTCATCTCATTCAGTAACCCTTCACCATACCGCTTCACGAGGCACACAGGAACTGAGACGCCATGTGTTAGGGGCTTGATTAGAGCCTCCTTGGCAACACAGCCTTGATTTTCTTTCCCACTCACCACAATAGGAAGAGTATTCATGGCTGGGGCCAGCCAAGGCTGTGGTGTTCATGGGGAAGGAGGGCTGTGTGGCCCCATGTGTAAGCCCACTCTGCACTAGGGACCTGGGGCTTGGCCCTGCAGAGACGAGGTCTGGGAAGTCACAAGACCTGGTGGGAATCTACTTAGCTGCTTGGATTTCTCAAACCTCATTTTCTTTAACTACAAAATGGTCATAGGACTAGACTATTTGCGTTACTGTAAACGTTAGAAACAACAGTCACTGTCCCTGAGCACATAGGTTACACAGGTGCCCTGCCAAAAATGATTACAAAGGATGTCATTTTATTCTCACCGTAATATATGGACTAGACTTATAATCTCCACATTAAAGAGGAGGAAGCTGAAGCAGCATATTGGCCCTGGCCACACAGTGAGTGGTTTTGTTGGGTTTCGATTCCAGCTCTTTTGGACCCCAGGCCCTGTGAGAGAGCAGGTGAAGTCCAAGTGGTGGCCAGTGTGCAGATGGTGCTCAGAATCGTCACTTCTCTTTCCTCCCACGCCCACCACTGCATTCTATGCAGAGACCCTCCATAGCTGCAGTTTCACTTTGCATGGTTTCAGTTACCTGCAGTCAACCATGGTCCAAAAACATTAAAGGGAAAATTCCCAAAATAAACAATTTATAAGATTCAAATTGCATAGGGCGATGGTATCTTGTGCCATCCTGCTTAGTCCTGCCCAAGATGTGAATCATCTTTTTGGCCAGCATCCATTACAGTAAGATATTTCGAGAGAAAGACACATTTGTGTAATCTTTTTTTCTCTTTTCTTTTTTTTAGGGGGGAGGTTGCTATGCTTAAGATGGTCTTGAACTCCTTGGGTTCAAGTTTTCCTCCTCTGCCTCTAGAGTGGCTGTGACCATAAGCACTTAGCACTGTGCCAGCTCCACACAACTGGTTGTAATATAAGTGTCCCGTTGTGTTGTTAATGTCTTACTGTGCCTAACTTATCATTTAACTTTACCATAGGTGTAGATGTAGAGGAAAGAACATAGTATATATGGAATTTAATACTACTCAAGGTTCAGGTATCCACTGGAGTCTTGGAATACATGCCGCAGGGATTAGAGGGGACCATGGTGTGACATTCTGTAGTGCAGGTGTGTTGGACTACCTCATGTGCTCATTTGGACAACTGTGGTGATTTTTTTAAAAGTTTAATATACACACAAATAAGTGTTATTTAGAATGTGTCTCTAAAGTCACCTAAGTGTGTGGGTGCTTTTGAAGGTGATGTAATTCTACACACTCAGTGTATAAGAACAACGGCTTATTTTCTACAGTTCCAACCCAACATCAGACTCTCAGTAAAATACTCGACTTTAATCACTCTCCTAGCTCCTGCCCCAGCTTCACTAGTGTCCCCATCCTCTATGTGGTCTTGAAAGAGAAACTTTCTCTTTCTTCCCTGCCATTGTTCTTCATGGAGCTTTACCTTGCCATCTTGTCAAGAAGGGAAGAATTTATGTATGAATCTGTGTTTACAGAGATATTTATAAATCCCTGGAGAAGTCTTTAACTTTTACACTTAAGAAAGAGCTCAGATCACCAGGAGTGCAAAGTTAATTCAGTCACCAGTTTAAATGCTGGAAAAATTTTCAAAAAATATTAAAAGGTCTGCTGTCCTGACTCAGGAACTCTAAGTTCTTAGGTGAAACTCACTCCAAGTTTTCTTTCCACAGTTGCAGCAGCCACAGCTTGCATGGATTCTTCCATGTGCACATGAAACCTAGGCGATTTCTTGGCACAGGTACCTGGCAGGGACTCATTCAGTGGCCCCACCAGTGGTGGAGTTAGAGGTCCTGCATCACCCGCATCCTGTGTTGGACCCTGGTTCTGTGGGTGCAGTGACAGGCAGTGTCCAGTGGGAGAGGGTAGATGTTCTCATGTTATTCTTCAAGCACCATTTAGTAAGAGTGTATGTGGAACCCTTCTGTCATTAAATTAAGGGTTGATACTGTCCTTTTCTACCTAAACAACAAACAGATTCTCTAAAGATAATAAGTGAATTTGAGAGTATTAGATTATTGCAATGGGAATACATGTGTCATAGCAAACTGAGCATCTCCACAGAGTTGAGGCAAGGGGACATTTTTAAAGGAAAACTGAGGAGAATTACTTAACTAGTTTTGAAGCAATAATCCTTGTCTTACAGGGATCAGTAACAAGAGTGGCACCCACACATGGTTGGTCAGGCATCCCTGCAGTATTTTTGTATAGGTCGTGGTGGCCTGTTTACAAGGTTGTGGTACTGGCAGTCTTATCAGTGATAGTACTTATCACTGGGGATATAGGCATGAGATCCTCTTTGTAACTTCAGCTTTATTACTCTTGTCAGTCAAGGCTTGACATAGCTGGCTCCACTTTGATTCTGACAGTATTCACATGCTGATGCCTTGGCCCAATTGTGTTTCAGACAATGGAGGGCAGACCCTGGCTGGAGGCAACAACTGGCCCCTTCGAGGAAGAAAATGGACCCTGTGGGAAGGAGGTGTCCGAGGAGTGGGCTTTGTCGCAAGCCCCTTGCTGAAGCAGAAGGGTGTGAAGAACCGAGAGCTCATCCACATCTCCGACTGGCTGCCGACGCTTGTGAAGCTGGCGGGGGGCGACACTCATGGCACCAAGCCCTTGGATGGCTTCGATGTGTGGAGAACCATCAGGTATTGGATGTGCTGCCCTCCTTAGTTAGAATCTCCCAGAATAGCTTGTCAGGAAGGGGTGAGAATGATAGCTTTTGTGTTGAAAGTACAGTTTGCTTACAAATAAATGATCCCCTTTGAGAAATGAAATACCTGTAGAGCTATTATAATTATATATTTTTTGAGTTTGAAATTTGAGATTTCAGGCCCGTGTTTTACACGAAGAATAAGATTGTCCTCAGCCTTCAGTCTGTATGGAAGGTCTTTAAAGCTGAGACACTCTGCTGAGAAGTAGGCCTGTGTATTGTTGGCTTCCTGCAGGGATCAGGGCACCTGCCTTGCTGTGTGCTGGAAGAATGGAGGACTAAGCGGGGGAGTGGGCTGGGATAGGAGCCCAGAGCAGCTGTTCAGTCTCAGGGAATAAGTTCAGGTCCGCTCATTAATAAGTGACGAATACCTACTATGTGCTGGTCCCTGTCCTAAGTGCTGAGAATGAGGAATGAATAGACGGACAAGGGCCTTGCTCTCAAGAAGCAAGTATTCTAGAAGGGGGAGAAAAGTATTAAATAAGTAAACACATAGACTCGCAAGATGACTTCACGTGGGTATAAGAGTTATGAAGGCAATGAAATGGTGTATCATGATAGAGTGAAGTTAGGAATTAAGGAGACACTGTCCAGGGAGCAGGGTCCAGCTTTGGATTGCTACCCCCACTCCAGTTTAGGGCAGTGGCCCCCAAGGTGGGGAAGCACATACCCTGGAGGGTCCAGGCCGCTCCTTGAGTACAGGGAGAAAACTTTGCACTTTATATTTAATTTTTTCTATCCTTTTTATGTTTAGAAGGTATGTAATGTAGTGGTAGATTAGTATGTATATCCTGCTTAAGAGTAAAAATACATGAAGGCCACGGATTTAGCTCAGTGGCACCATGCCTGCCTCACAAGTGCAAGGTCCTGAGTTCGATCCTCAGTACCCCCCAAAAGTAAATATACATGTATTGGAGGCATTGCTTTTACTAAAGACTGACAGATGTCCAGGGTGATGGTTTTCCACCTCTTGGTATCATTGGCTCTGTGGGTAGTGGCTGATGGATGAGTCCCATGGTGGCCAGGAAGAGAGGACATTGGCATGCTCTTCTTTTGTCATCCCACTCTGTTGTTCCAGCTAAAGGCAGGGAAGTTCCTGATCATAGGAAAAACATAGCAGAGTATTTAGAAGAGCCACCATGTATATAAAAAACCTCCAGTAGTTGAGAAAAAATTGTGTGTTAGGGCAGGAATTCAAATGGATTCTAATATGAGTAATAAAAGAATGTGGGTAAAAAGTATAGGTGTTTTTTTCACCATGTCTTATTTTCTTAACATTTTGTAAATTTGTAATTATTTCCAAATAAAAAGTTTTTAAAAATAAGAAGGTCTGGTAGGACAACGTCTGCATTTTCACAAGGCCAGCAACTGAATGGAATCACATAGTTGCTACCTTTGTTAGTTGATGCGTTGACCCCTTAAATCCCCGTTGCTCTCATCTCCCCACACACGCCCCCCACTGTACTCATTTCTGTTGCCTACCTGGTCCATGTAGGCATTGAAATTTGTGCCTCATGCAGACCACAGTGTAGTCACAGTCCTTGACATTCTGGACACACCATAATGGAACCAGTCCCCACCTGCTGGACACACAGAGTATTCCTTATACTTTTACAGTCTCAATTTTTCTGGAAAAAATAATCTTCAGTGTTAAAAAGTCAGAGTTTGGCAAAAGGTTATTTTATGCAAAGGAAGTTTGACAGCTTCTGTTATGGTTTGTATCTAGATGTCCCCCCAAAGCCTCATGTGCTCATAGGTAGGTCTTTTCAGAGCTGAATGGATCATGGATGTGTGATACTGGGATTAAGGGTATGTGACACTAAGTCCACTGATTGGAATTAGTATAGTTCTGGGTTGCACCACCCAAAAGGCTGGTAGCCTGGATGGGATAAAAGGGAAAAGCTGCTTGCTGCTTTCTGCCTGCTTTGCCATGAACTGTTTCTCACCTGCAGTGCACCTCTGCCATGCCTCCCTGCCTTAGAATCAGCTGACTATGGACTGAAACCTCTACAAACTATAAATAAACCTTTTCTCCCTTAACTTGTGGGTGTCGGATATTTTGTCCCAGCAATGAGAAAAGTAACTAAGACGTCTATTAAAGCTTAAACAGAAACTCTTAAAATCCTAAGAGTTTAGGAATGGATGGAAGAAACATTTGGCTAGGCTGCTCTCAGCCTCTCAGACCATGAGTCTCTTAGCTGCTCTCTAATGAGTGTTGTCCAGGAAGCTGAGCCTCACAAAGGTTTAACTGCTTCCAAACCCCTGGGAAAATCTGATCAATTAGTGTTCTAATCTTTTGTAAATCATTTCTCAACTCAAAGTTCCAGATCTTCCTTGGAGACTTTCTCAAATGTTAAAGATTATTTTTCGAACAATGAAATGTAAAGCATGAAGTAGCTATTTTTTTCACCTTTATTCACACTGACCCTGGAATAATACTGGGGTTCTGGTTACTGATTTCATTACTATCAGAAATCCACATATAGTATCACTTAGAAAAAAACTATTTAATACCTTTATTAACATTTGCTTGCAGTTGACCTTTTTGAAAAATAAAGCTTTAAACTATTATTACAAGTTAAAAATGAAGTTCTTAAAATCTTACCTTGATCAGATATGAAACAATTTAAAAACTTTAAACCATATTGAGAAAAAACAGTCTTTAAAAAATAACACATTTGTCATGACCAAAAAGAGACATCTTCGGGTAAATATAGTAAAAACCTCATGCAGATAGTTCCAGCTATCCAGTCAACAGGCAAAAAAAAAAAAAGCAAGCTTTTAAAGGCTTTAGCTCCAATCTTCTGTTTGTTCCTTATCACAGGGATTTCATGTTCATTTCTCCTTGTTGAATGTCTGGATGCCTTGGGAGCAGACTGCTGGTCAGCTGGTGCACAGGCTGCCTTCACCTTTCTGCCTTCTTGTGGTTCAGGGTTTCCGGGCATCTGCAGCAGTGATTGAAGCTGCAGGGGTCCCTTTGTTGAGGGGGCTGCTGACCTTGAGTCTCATCACCTCAGTTTTCCTTGTTCCCTTTACTGCATCCTCTCTGGACTGTGCGAGGGAGGTCCTGTGGAATCATGGTCTCTAACCCCAGACTCATCTTGTTTTCCTGTGTCCTGCTTGTTGGCACCCTCCATTACTTTTCCCTGGCCAGGAGGAAGCATGCTATGGTAGTCACCCAGGGGGCTCTGGATGGAGCTAGGAAGGGACATCACCTGCTGTAGGCTGGCCATCATTGCTACTCCCTAAGGTGTGCTGTGCGGTCTCTTGGTCTTTCTCCTCTCTCTCCTGCTAGTTGTCCTGGTGATGGTGTGGAGGACCCTGCAGCCTTGGAGAGCAGCTGTGTGGTAGCTTCCTCTACCCAGAACTCCTTCAGGGCCTGGAATGTCTGCTGCCACCACTCCTGTTCTTCCTTCCATGGCATCCACCTTCCTTGGTGTCATTCCCATTGATGAGACCACATGAGCTATTTTACTGCTCCCCAAACCTCTGTGCTGTGACCTTCCCATCCACATTAGCAGGTGCCACCTATGTGAGGCTGCCTGGCCACCGGTCCCTGTACCCCCACCCCTGATGACAGGCTTGGTTTCTGCAGCACTGAGGATGGATGCCTGGTTGCTTCTCAATCTCTGTTTCCTGCTCATGGCTGCAGTAAGGTGACTGGGTCACTGCCCAGCTGCAGCTCTCCTGGGGTGTGATGGCACTGAGGCCCACAGAAATGGCACTGGGGGAGCTCCGGGCTTAGGGGTCTACTCTTCTCCCACTACAGTAGAAGTCTGCGTATATTTGACTCCCCCAAAATGTTGCTACTAATGGCCTGCTGTGGACTAGAAGCCATACCTCTGACATCACTGTGGATCACCTCGCATTTTGAGTGTTATATGTATTATATGCTATGGAAAATGTGTCGAGAACCACAGGAAAGCACTTTTTTTTCCCCCATTAACTTTATTGGTACATTTTTTTAAGTATAAAATACAGTTACATTCATCATTGGGAACTTGTACCATTACATGAGTCTCTTGGTTCCCCTTCCCTTGCCCTCCCTTCACCCCCTCCACCCTTCCCTATTTGCAAAGACCTTGTTTCCATTTTTTTCCTCTTCTCATATTTTTTCCTTTCCCTTTTTTCCCTTCCCCTACCCCTCCCAATTCCCCTGCTCTTTTAGACC